GATAATTTCGTTCTGGAACTCCTTTCGTTGCATAAAAGTAGTTTGACCTCGTTTTAACAACTTGGTCGTGTTGTCAGGGCAACTTAGCTGGGCGCACTTTTTCCGAACTCCTCTTCCATAGAAGTTATCATAATTTCCAGCGTCGAGCAGCTGACTTGATGCCTTCTCAGACGTTTGTCCGGCATCGTCAGTGACTCCTGCCATTCTCAGCACCAAGCTACAACTCGTCAAAGAGACAAGCGAAGTCAATCCCTCGGCCAGCTTATTGTCAAACCGTTGTGTCATCCATTCTGCCCTGGTACTTCGCAGAAAGACAAGTGATAACACAACCGACTCTTTATCGAGTTGTAGTATGCTGCTGAGAATGGCAAGACGCACTGACGATGCCGACTTCGATGTTGGTGAATTGACTGAGAATGTACCAAGTCCACGGCTAGACACTGAGAGTTGTGATAATCACTATAACAGAGGACTTTGGACAAGGTGCGTCCAACTAAGTAGCTTTGACGACGCGACCAAGTAACGAAAACGAGGTCAGACCACTACTTGCCACCGGCTGGCCCTCATTCAATATTCAGGCTTTCTGATAAGCTTCGATTGAAACGATAGGTCCTGTTATAAGAGCACATCCAAGCCATTTCTGTGTATCATGTCATTCAAAGAGCTAGAATGGCAACTTTTCATAAAAATAGCCCTCGCATGGGGCATAGTTAGTGCGATATGAGGATACAGCATCATAGAGGTGTAGCAGGCTCCAGTACAAAAGGGAGAAGAGCTATGGCACAACTGGTCGTTAGGGGATTGTTAGTGCTGCTTTCGTAGCTCGTCGCTAAGGCTGGCGGAGATACTGGCCCAACGCCTGCGGGAATGTATCACCACCAAGAAGCGAGGCTGGAGCAGGGCTTTCGAGGTTACCTTGACTACACGTCCTGGCCTAAGGTGACATGGTTTCGGACTTTGTGTCTACGATTTGTACGGCGTAGGGTTACTGTCTTGTTCACACACATAACATGGCCTCCCCCAATGCCCCGTCCTCTGTACTCCTCCAGCCTCGAGAACAGCCTCATCTTGCTGGGGCAATTCTCCCTCAGCGAGATGCACTTTTGGCTGAGCAAGTGTATCCCCGAGACGCCAGAACGGCCCAGCCTCGTCGAGTCGGCTTCCGTCGCGAAGGCGTCTGTCTCAGAACCTACAGCATCACCTGGCGCCGGTGAGCAAACTGCTCGTCTAAGGCACACGTCAGTGTTGTTGGGAACTCGTCTGGTCGCCGAGTACTCGCGTGGACGAGCCCGTTTTCTCTCGGACACTCCGTCGACCCTGGCCATCATCAAAGAGGCCATTACGCGGGAGGCGACAAGGCGAAAGATCCAGTTGGAAATTCATTTTCGTAAGTCCCGGCTATCCGGTTTAAAGGGGAGTCACGCAAAATTGTGAGCAGCGGATAAGGACGCCGTGTTTACAGTTGTGATGTGTGTCAGCCTCTGATTGGCCGATCGCCTGGCTTGACGTGATAGGTTAGTCTGAGTGGTCCAATGGGAGGCTCGTGTGCAGATGGCGAGATTGATCGATCGACGCTTGCACTACATGAGTCAGAATAAAAGGCATGGCTTTTGTGCGAAATTGACTGTAGTGCAACAATGATAGTGGGTGTAGTGCAAAAGCTCACTAAACGGTCTGAGCGCTCAAGTTTATGGCCAACGTGGTCTTGCCTCTGCCTCAACTTGGATTGCATGAAGTACCACTCTTTTGCCATACAGTCTTAAGTGGTGTATAGGTCTCAATTTGCCATCTTAGCGATAGTTTCTGGTCCTCAACCAGCCTTCGATACCTACATATCGAAATAATTTCACCCCATGATCCATTGTCCAATGAGGAAACGTTGTTCGGAGTGGCGGTGTATGTCTTGAGACATTAAAGTGTGAATTAAATCAACCAATGCCACTTGAAGCGACTTGAGGTCTTTTGGTGGAGTTTTTCCTACGAGGCAATGAGTAGGCCTCGCATCCCGACAGGCGTTCTCATCTCAAATTGACTATTTCATCTTCACCTCCAACAGGATTTGAGCTTGGGTCGTGCACGTCAAGTGGCCATACAACAACGGATGAATATGGATCAGATGTGGCTTTTAAAGCCGCATGGCCCTGAAAACTGTCAACTTGTTCATTTTCAATGTATGTATGCTTAAAAACTATCAATAATTCTCGAACAAGTACTTTTTGGGAGACAAAGCTAATTACAATTTAATGGCACCATAAGATCTATACATGTTGTTATTGTAAAATTCCATATAAAGTTATTAACTCAACTTAAACGGTCTATGGTGACAAGTTCTTAT